TGAGTTGGCTCCGACTTCTGGTGACCCTGTGAATGAGTGATGTCCAGGATGTCCTTTGCTCAACATACTCAAGTACATGAGCATAAAGGAGAATGGAACTTATACACTCAACTGTTACTGTGGTCCAGGAATGTGGTGGAGAGGTAGGGCCTTTTTCTAATACCTCGTGTTTGGAAAACATGTTTTGCATTTGTAGTTGAAGAGAAAATTCAGGCATAAAAAACTGGTTAGGCCCTAACTGGTTTGGCTCAGTGGATAAGAGCATCGGCCTGCGGACTGAAGGGTCCCAGGTTCGATTCCGGTCAAGGGCATGTGCCTTGACCTTGGTTGCGGGCACATCCCCATTGGGGCGTGTGCAGGAGGCAGCTGATTGATGTCTCTCTTTCATCGATGTTTCTAACTCTCTGTCCCTCTCCCTTCCCCTCTGTAAAAAATCAATAAAAATATATTTTTAAAGAAACTGGTTAGGCAAACTAATCTTTTTATTGTACACTAGGGGCCCAGTGCACAAATTCGTGCACCTTGAAAGGAACTGTGGGCCACAAGGCTGCAGTGGGCCTTGGGGCGGGTCTTGGCCCACCCTCCGCACGCCCCGCCCAGCCCCTCCCGCCATGGCCCCGGTCCCCTGTCTGCTGGCAGCCACGCTCCCGCCGCTCCCACACACTGACACTCCCACACACTGATGGCACTGGTCCCACTCACACCTGCTGACAGCACAGAGCAATTGGGGCCGGTACCAGCAGCGGACACGAGCGGGGCCAGTGGTGTCAGCGGGTGCAAGCCACGGCTGCTGCCCTGATTGCCCCTCAAGAACAGGGGAAGGTGGAGAAGCCTTCAGGAGCGATCAGGGCCAGTTGCTGCTGCTCGCACCCGCTGATGGCGCTGAGTGATCTGATTGGGACCGGCAGCAGGTGCAAGCACCAGGCAGGACTGTGGCGCAGGAGCAGAGAATTTTCAGTAACCACCAGAGGCTCACCCCAATGACAGTGACCAGCAGTGCCCCACCTTGGTCTGGCGCCCCCAACTCACCTGCTCCACCATCCCACTGTGGCCAATGCCCGCTATGTTCCACACACGCCCCCTTGTGGTCAGCGCACATCATAGTGACCGATTGTTCCGGTTGTTTCACCATTTGGTTTATTTGCATATTAGCCTTTTATTGTATGGGATTATTATATAGGATAGCAACCTTTAGCATCTAAGACTTACGGATGTATGTATGTATGTATGTATGTATGTATTTATTTATTTATAGAATCCAGATGCAAGGTATTACTAAGTTTGATCCTTTTATTGATGCAGAAGATATTCCAGTGATCTTTCAGAGCCTTGGGATTATTTTTATGGGATTGTTGTAAGGTTAAATGAGATGGTCCTTTAACTTGCAGTAGTTCCTGGAACAGCGCCTATGTGTGGAGATAATGTAGCACCTTACTGAGAGCATGGATTGGGAAAACCGGGGTGCCTGGTTTTGAGTCCTCACTCATCACTGGCTCTTTTGGGCAGGTATTTATCTTAAAGTGCCTCAGTCTCACCATCAGTACGTAACAGTAGTATCTAAGAGTATTACAGGAATTAAATGTATTAAAATATGGAGAGCACTACAACAGTGCCTGGAAGGCAGTAAATGTTAATTATCATTTTTATAAGTTATTCTCAGTTGTGGCCAACAAAAATGTGAGGTAATCTCATGTTTTTAATGGAAATATCACTCCGTATTCCAGAGTGAGAAAGATGGGGAGAGGAGAGGAGAGGCTCATTCCATTCAGCAGTAGGAGATAGGCCGTCTTTGGAGTGATGCCCAGTTTGGGACACTATTTTAGTCCAGCGATTTCAACCCTTTTCATGTAATGGCACACATAAACTTATTACAAAAATTCTGCGCCATGCCAAAAATGTTTTCTTGCCAATCTGAACCAAAAATAGGTATAATTTTGATTCATTCACATCGGACAACTATTGTGTTGACTGTCATTTTTTTATTTGACAATCTAAGGAAAAAGAGATCAGTGCCTCTGACTAGTAGTCAGGTATTGCATGTTTTAAAAATTCTTGCAGCACACATATTGAAAACTGTTGTAACCAAAGAAGAGGGGTCAGGCTAGTTCTCAAGCTGGAAACTCTTGTGAGGAATTAATTCTTGCAAGACTGAAAATGTGTTACCTGGGTAAAAGAGAACTTCCTGCATTGGACACTGGCAGTGAAAAGACCTGATTTAGCTGAGAAGTTTTTAATTCAGAACTTAATATCTGACCTGACACAGGTGGAAGGCTTGGCTGTTCTTCAGGTTGGCCTTCTCCTGTACTCCTCGTGAGTAAGCGGTTACGCTGAATGCCTTTTAATGGCCTTCTAATGCTACTTTTGAATTCTTCCCAGAGTCTTTGTTGCTTGTGAGAAAAATGAAAGTATTTGCAACTACTTAATATGTTAAGGGTAATACTGAGGAATTAGGATATACTTTAATTAGTAGTTATTTTCTTTTTTTATATTTTATTGACTTTTTACAGAGAAGAAGGGAGAGGGATAGAGTTAGAAACATCAGTGAGAGAGAGACATCGATCAGCTGCCTCCTGCACACTCCCTACTGGGGATGTGCCTGCAACCAAGGTACATGCCCTTGACAAGAATCGAACCTGGGACCCTTGAGTTCGCAGGCTGATGCTCTATCCACTGAGCAAAACCGGCCAGGGCTTAGTAGTTATTTTCCATTTGAGTTAGATGTATAAAGCAGAAGAGTTTTTTTGTTTTTTAATTTTTTAAAAATATATTTTGTTGATTTTTTCCAGGGAGGAAGGGAGAGGGATAGAGAGTTAGAAACATTGATGAGAGAGAAACATCGATTAGCTGCCTCCTGCACGCTCCTTACTGGGGATGTGCCTGCAACTCAGGTACATGCCCTTGACCGGAATCGAACCTGGGACCTTTGAGTCCGCAGGCCGATGCTCTATCCACTGAGCCAAACCAGTTAGGGCAGAAGAGTTATTTTTTATTAAATCAGGAACTTATCAGGTATTTAAGGTATTTCTGACCTAAAGACTCCTGAAGAAATTTCCTTCTTTGGAGTTTATAAATTTTAATTAAAGTTTTTGTTTTTAAAAGAATGGAATTGCCGAAACCGGTTTGGCTCAGTGGATAGAGCGTCGGCCTGCGGACTGAGAGGTCCCAGGTTCTATTCCGGTCAAGGGCATGTACCTGGGTTGCGGGCATATCCCCAGTGGGAGATGTGCAGGAGGCAGCTGATCGATGATTCTCTCTCATCGATGTTTCTAACTCTATCTCTCTCCCTTCCTCTCTGTAAGAAATCAATAAAATATATTAAAAAAAAATAAAATAAAATAAAAGAATGGAATTGGTACCCAGTTCATATCTATATAGAAGCAAAAAGACAGTATGGATGCTTTGGATTTTCAGTGAGCACATTTCTGTCCTTGAACTCCAAGGAATAGGAGATGGGACAGAGCCTGTCTTGAGACAGTATGTGAAACTTCATGGGACGTGCGCACCTTCATTTTGAGCCCTGCGGGTGCCAATTCATGTATTTAATAGCATAAATAGAGATTTGGGGGGGGGAGTTGGAGAAGAAGGAATTGTAATTAAATTTTGTGTGGAAAGGGAAAATTGAGTATAAAACATTAAAGACAAGTACTCTGTTGTGTTATCATTCAGATTTTTAAATTTAAAAATTTGCCTGGCTCTCTCCTGAGTTTATCTTGGAGTTTCTGAAATTCCGTATCGTTTCCATGGATTTGTATTGAATTGGATACTGGGCTGGAGGCACCAAGTTAAGGTATGGGGTTCCCTCAGCCTCTTATTTCTGTGCTTTGAGATTTTACTTTGTGGTTAATTCAGAATGTTATTGAAATGGGAAATTTTAAGATCTATTGATCTTTGGAGAATCCCTCTATCGCTGAATTTATATCTTTTTTTTGGTGTGGGGGGGAATGGGGTGGTTGGTAATCCTTGCCCGAAGATATTTTTCCATTGACTTTTAGAGAGAGGAAAAGAGAGAGAAACACACTGATTGGTTGCCTCCAGGGCCCAGGCAGGGGAGGAGCCTGCATCCAAGGTACGTTCCCTTGACCATAATCGAACCTGGGACCCTTCGGACCGCAGGCTGGCGCTTTATCCACTGAGACAAATCTACTAGGCACTGAATTTATATCTTGAGGTATATATTATTTTCTTACTCTAAAATCAGTTTTTGTCTTCCCAGGGTTCATTTAAAAATTTTTATTTTTAAATGTTGATTACTGGCCCAACTGGTGTGGCTCAGTGGTTGAGCATCAACCTATGAACTAGGACAGTGATGGCGAACCTTTTGACCTTTTGAGCAGGTCAGCATTTTGAAAAACCCTAACTTAACTCTGGTGCCGTGTCACATATAGAAATTTTTTGATATTTGCAACCATAGTAAAACAAAGATTTATATTTTTGATATTTATTTTATATATTTAAATGCCATTTAACAAAGAAAAATCAACCAAAAAAATGAGTTCGCGTGTCATAGGTTCGCCATCACTGAACTAGGAAGTCATGGTTCGATTCTCAGTCAGGGCACATGCCCGGGTTGCTGGCTTGACCCCCAGGAGGAGGCATGCAGGAGGCACCTGATCTGTGATTCTCTTTCATCATTGCTGTTTCTGTCTCTCTCCCTCTTCCCTTACTCTCTGAAATCAATAAAAATGTTTGTTTTTTTTTAATGGTTGCTTTCAGTAATGAAATTATGGTATCAAGAAGAATGTTTTTCTCAAAATACTCATTGGCCCTTACTTACAATGCCTGTTGGGTCATTTTTTATTGCTTTTTTTGTTGTTGATTGTAACTGTTGGAAACAAGTGTCCATATTAAATAGCAGTGAAGAAAATATTTTAAAAATAAATTTTTTCCCACGGGAGGAGAAAATTTGACCTTAACAGCAAACCTATGTCAAAGTCTCCCCCTTTGAAAAGCCATCCTGGCTGATGCCCAAGCGCAGTCTAAGCAGGTGTTCCATGTCCTAGGGAAAGAAGCTCAGAAAGGATCTCTGCTCTTTGATGACCTCCCTCCGGCCAGCAGTACTGACTCAGGTACAGTCTTCAGGCTCTCCCAGGTGTGTGTCAACGTGTCATCCTGGGATTGTAGTTGTCTCAATCTTTTTCCCTTTCCCCCATTTTCAACACACAGATGTTTTAGGTGTTGGACTGTCTTAAGTTTTGAATCCATGGCATCAGGTAAGGCAGAAAAATCCACTAGTTGCTAGCTCTGAGGAACTGCGTGAAATGTTGAGCAGTTTTCTCTGGTTCATTTGAGTATATTATAGCTGAAATATGATGTAACTCCGTAAGGCAGGTTTTTGTTTCCTTTCAATGATAGGACTTTAAAAGACATTATTTACCGCAGTGTGAATTGCCACTGGATTGACACAGTTTTGAGTTTATGTCAGTGACCTGCATAGGCGTCCTGGTGGGATGGATTCTGACACTTATGCCTTACCCAGGTTTTGTGGGCTCACGGAGTGTCCTGCTGTGTTTCAGGACCAGGCGGACCTTTGCTTTTTGATGACCTCCCACCAGCCAGCAGTGGCGAGTCAGGTAAGTAGTAGGGAAAAATCCAACGTGCTAGTGGAAATAATACATATTTTACTCTTTTGTGAAATTTATTTATAGCTTTTACGGTTTAGGATGACATTAAATTATACTATAGCATAGATTTATTAAACGCAAGTAGGCATCATCAGATGGAAGGAAAAAGATTAGCTAGCTATAACATCACTTTTTGGTGATTTTTTTTTTTCTTCCTTGGGGTTCAGCCTCTTACAGTGGACTAAGAATTAAGAGTTTAGTAATTTACTTTCCACTTCGTAATTAATGTTTTTTAATTAAAAAATCTGTCATTCTGGTTTGCCTTATGTTCCTGACCCAAATGTATCCAGCGGAAGTATCTGAATATATGAAATAGAGTTAAAATATTTAGTGTCACCGGCCGGCTTGGCTCAGTGGTTGAGCGTCAACCTATGAACCAGGAGGTCACGGTTGGATTCCCAGTAAGGTAACATGCCCTGGTTGCAGTCTCAATCCCCAGTGTGGGGCGTGCAAGAGGCAATCAGTGATTCTCTCTCATCATTGATGTTTCTATCTCTCCCTCTTCCTTCCTCTCTGAAATAAATTGTGTGTGTGTGTGTGTGTGTTTAGTGTCCCTGAACCCATAAATACTGATATGTAGGTCTTCTGTTTTCTGCCACTTATACTAAAAAGAATTTTGATTTAAGAAAATGAGGTCTGGCCCTGACTGGTTTGGTTCAGCAGATAAAGCGTCGGCCTGTGGACTCAAGGGTCCCAGGTTCGATTCCGGTCAAGGGCATGTACCTTGGTTGCGGGCACATCCCCAGTGGGGAGTGTGCTGGAGGCAGCTGATCGATGATGTTCCTCTCTCATCGATGTTTCTAACTCTCTATTCCTTTCCCTTCCTCTCTGTAAAAAATCAATAAAATATATTAAAAAAAAAAAAAAAGAAAGAAAATGAGGTCTGGCCCACGGGCATGACTCAGTGGTTGAGCTTTGACCTATGAACCAGGAGGTCACGGTTCAGTTCCCGGTCAGGGCACATGATGGGTTGTGGGCTCGACCCCCATTGTGGGGTGTGCAAGAGGCTGCCGATCAGTGATTCTCATCATTGAAGTTTCTCTCTCTCCCTCTCCCTTTCTTGCTGAAATCAATAAAAGTATATTTTTTAAAAAGAAGAAGAAGAAAAAAATGAGGTCTGAATGACATTGGTTTAGTGCAAGGGTCCTCAAACTACAGCCTGCGGGCCACATGCGGCCCGCCAAAAACATTTATCTGCCCGCCAAAAACATTTATCCGCCCGCCGGGTGTTTTTGCTGCCGTTGCCTGTTGCTTAGCAGCCGACTAGTTTTTTTTAAACTATAGTCCGGCCCTCCAACGGTCTGAGGGACAGTGAATTGGTCCCCTGTTTAAAAAGTTTGAGGACCCCTGGTTTAGTGTTTGGTATAGACCCTGTGGAGGAATTGTCTTGAAATTCAAGACCTAACGTAGTTATTTCCCAGTCAATTCATATGTTCTTGAGATTCTGTTTATTGATTTAATTTTATTTTCATCGAGCCTATTAACATTGGTTCTACCTGTTCTGTAAATGTTTAACTTCTTTTCCTGTCCCAATTTAGGAAGTAAGAATAGAGTGGATTCCTCTAGGACAGCGGTTCTCAACATGTGGGTCGCGACCCCTTTGGCGGTCGAACGACCCTTTCACAGGGGTCGCCTAAGACTATCGGAAAACACATAGATAATTACATATTGTTTTTGTGATTAATCACTAAGCTTTAATTATGTTCAATTTGTAACAGTGAAAATACATCCTGCATATCAGATATTTACATTATGATTCATAACAGTAGCAAAATTACAGTTATGAAGTAGCAACGAAAATGATTTTATGGCTGGGGGTCACCACAACATGAGGAACTGTATTAAAGGGTCGCGGCATTACGAAGGTTGAGAACCACTGCTGTAGGACCTAGAGCAGTGATGGCGAACCTATGACACGACACGCGTGTCAGAGGTGACACGCGAACTCATTTTTTTGGTTGATTTTTCTTTGTTAATTGGCATTTAAATATATAAAATAAATATCAAAAATATAAATCTTTGTTTTACTATGGTTGCAAATATCAAAAAATTTCTATATGTGACACGGCACCAGAGTTAAGTTAGGGTTTTTCAAAATGCTGACATGCCAAGCTCAAAAGGTTCGCCATCACTGACCTAGAGTCTAGATTATCATATGAGGAACCTATTACTCTGTCTCACTGAGAACTGACATGGAATTCCCCTGGGGAAGGGAAGGTATAGTGGCCTGGGAACAGTTGGGGATGCAGTTTTTTTCAAATGCAATTGTCTTCTGGTAACAAGACCTTGTCTCTTGTCAAATAGAACACTTGCTTTTCAAACCTCTCGTTTTTTTTTGTTTGTTGTTGGGTTTTTGTTTGTAGGAAAGCAAATAAGAATTTATTAACTGCACCAAAAACATACTTTAGGGCAGTGAAACAGAGAAGGGCCTAGAACAGTGGTTCTCAATCTTCTGGCCCTTTAAATACAGTTCCTTACATTGGGACCCAACCATAAAATTATTTTCGTTGCTACTTCATAACTGTAATGTTGCTACTGTTATGAATCGTAATGTAAATATCTGATACGCAGGATGGTCTTAGGCAACCCCTGTGAAAGGGTCGTTTGACCGCAAAAGGGGTCGCGACCCACAGGTTGAGAACCACTGACCTAGAAGAAGCAACAGGAGAGCCTGGGCTAGGCTGCTTTGGCTCACTAGGAAGTCAGAGAAAAAGGGTGGAAGGGGGGCTTGGAGACATTCAGGGGGTTAGCCTGGGGCCATATGCTGGGGGGCGCGGTGGAGGAGAGAAAGGGAATGGCATAAGCGTGCTCCCTGGAGGTCAAGTGCACTTCTTTTTTGTATTATTAATTCATTACCATAAAGTCGTTGGAAGTAGTCTAGAAAATATGGATTAAATTCTTATAGTTTCTGTATTTAGAAAAAGTATTACAGTCATCTTACATACCTATACCAAAAAATTATAGCATACTCATACAATTTAGCCTAATAAAGATCTTCCCAATAAAGATAGTGCTTTTAGTTATAATGAATGTTGTGTGCAAGCAGGGCCCCTAACAGATTTAATAAAACTAAGGAAGATTCAGCATAGTTGTGGCTTAGTTGTCCATAGGGCAAAAGACAGTAAATTGGTAACAACTTAGAAGATTTCAACATTACTCTTAACAAGATTGAGGTATTTTGGATATGGAATCCAATCTTGCATCCAGTATTTTGGATTTATTTCTTTTTTTTTAATATATATTTTTATTTCAGAAAGGAAAGGACAGGGAGAGAGATATAGACACATCAGCGATGAGAGAATCATTGATTGATCGGCTGCCTCCTGCATACCCCACACTGGGGATCGATCCCGCAACCTGGGCATGTGCCCTGACTGGGAATTGAACCATGACCTCCTGGTTTATAGGTTGACACTCAACCACTAAGCCACACCGGCCGGGCTATTTTGGATTTCTTGAAAAGATACTCTTCTCAAGCAGGCAAGAAACATTTATAAAAATTGACTACATTCTAGGACATAAAGTAAAATCCCAACGAAGATAGACCACATTCTCTTATTTCAGTGTGATTCTTTTAGAAGTCAAAAACAAAGCTTTAAAATGTTCTGTTTTCCAATTTAAAAGCAAGGAAGGTTCTTTTACATACACATTGGGAAAAGGGAACACAAACAGTAAGTGACAGGAGGTTAATGAAGAGACCATTGGGACATCCTGTTGGAAACACCCAGGAAATTTTGTTAATTTGCCACATTATATGGGTTGGGATATGTGTGCTGTGTTATACTGTTGTATGAAATAAGAGTCAATTACTTGCAAAAGGACATTACAAAATGCAGACATCTTCCTTTTTCCTCAGTACTTAGAAATGCCTGGCAAAGAGTAGTTGATAAATAGTTGCATGCTTTTATAGCTAAATGCAAAAAATACGTAGGGCCATTTATCATGACAGCAGCTACCATTTCTTGGATACTTGATCGACGAAGCGCTGTGGTAAATGCTTTACATAACTTGTCCCCATCAGTTTTCAAACAACCCTCTGAGTTTACCATATTCTTCCCAAGAAGAAACAGGCTGAAAGCTAAGTAACTTGCCGTAAGGGCAACCCTCTTGTGAGCGGCAGAACCAAGATTTGAAGTTAGACCTTTCTAAATGCCCACCACCACGCTCGTGCCTTGCAGGTGCTCTTAGCTCTGGCTTTGAACACAGATTCATCCCTCTGTCACCGAGAATAGCTTCAGCAGCTGTTCTTAAAGCCTGACTTTTATCTCATTTTAAGCCTTTTTTGGTACTTGGGTGTTTTTTTTTTTAACTTGTTTAGTATGTGTCACTTTGCAGATTTTGGAAACTTCCCTAATTGTAAATAAGGGCCTGTGGATGTACAACACCATGCAGGTGCTACAGCCCGAGTACAGATGTCTCTTTTTACCACTGAGAAGCCTCTCTTGCAGATCCTCTCATGGTTGGTGTGGTCTCCCACTGTGGGTGCCCAGGCACACTGGCCTGGCCCTTGGATTCAGAGCTATGACTGCTGGACATGACATTTTATCTTTGAGGGCTGGGATGGAGCCTGATCTGCAGGGGTCTTTTTGTAAGTCTACAGCTGTTTCTGTCTGGCTTTTACTTTATTTCCAGGTTCTCTTGACACCTCCATATCCCAGATGGTAAAGAATGAAGGGAAAGGAGCAAAGAGAAAACCCTCTGAAGAAGAGGAGAATGGCAGTGAAGAGCTTGTGGAAAAGAAAGTTTGTAAAGGTTTTCAGACAGTTTGAAAACAAATGTATTAGACTTCATAATTTAAAACAACCCAGAGCTCAGCTTTGTGATGATACTGCTTACTCTCTGTGTCTGTATTTAAGAATTGGGTAGGGCTCCCTTTTTGCAGACAGACTCCTGAAGTTTACTCCTGCCTTCTCTCTCTCTACTTTCCATGGACATCTCTGTCTCTGACCCTACCTTGGGTCAGGTAGGAAACCTACAGTTGTTCCTAGGCTTAAACAACACAGAGTTTTCACTTAACCCTTTCTAGTGATCAGGTAGCCTGCAGACCACCCATTTCTCTCAAATTCCCTGTCTTTGTTATAGCCTGATGATTAGCGTTTTGATACTATGGTTAACTCAGTAGGCAACTTCCCTAGAAAGAGCCCAAGGCTGGGGAAAGCAATTGAAATTTGTAGTCAGCTTTGTAATTTGTCACAGAGTAAGGGAAATGAAAAGTACCTATTAAAGATAAATAGTTGTAGATTCATTCACTGTCCCAACCCCTTTGGTTTTATTTGCTTTTTTACCACAAAGCACCTCAAAGCTGCAGGGTGCACTTGGAGGTATGTGAGAGGACCTACTTTGCTCTGCTGGTCTTCAGCTGAGTTTTCAGCACCCTAGCCTAAAGAGCTCTGCCCACCCACAGCTGCTCTTCGGAAAGTGCTCACTTCATTTGCATGACCCTAGGGGTCAAAGGGTGAGCTTAAGCTAGTCAGGCTTTTCAATAGAAGGAGGCATCTGTGCCTCCCCTTTATTTTTTTCTCCCTCATTTAGAGTAAAAGCAGCTGATCTTACCAGTTGTTCAAATTCTTTACTAAGCCTCAGGCATGAAAATAACATATTTTCATATGTCCAGCAGGACCTTTGGGATAAACTCTACTTGCATTTCTCTAGAGTAGGAATTTTTCTGTCCTCATTAAATTATTGACCAGATTAGATTTACTGGAACCCCTTCTCCCCCCATTCAAATGACAGTACATTTCTTAACTCTGGTATTTTGCTTTAATGCCTTAAACGGAGTTGTCCTGTACTAACTTGCTGTCATCTGCCTGTCTCCTCTCCAGTGTTTAGCCTTGCAGAGATCAGCCCTGACCATCAGTGGTCTGATTTCAGTTACAGACTTGTAGTGGGGAGATGCCTTGAGGAGAAGAGCTTGTTTGCCTGTTAAGACTGCCGAGTAAAATAGCCAGAGTTCCCTCTTGTTTGCTCTGGGACTAGGGCTTCTGGAGGGCAGGGCACAGTTTTGTATTGGCTTTTTGTTCTCTTTTCCTTAGCCTCTTCAGTGATTTTTGGTTTGAAAGGCTACGTGGCTGAGCGGAAGGGCGAGCGGGAGGAGATGCAGGATGCCCATGTCATCCTGAATGACATCACGGAGGAGTGTAGGCCCCTATCATCCCTCATGTGAGTGTCCCTGCTCTGGCAAGCCTGGTGGGCCTAAAAGTCTCTGGACCAAGCTCTGATTTCAGTTTTGGACTTTGTCCACTTTGTATTTATTAGGAAGATTGACACATAACACTTGAGCTGCTTGGTTCAACAGTGGTAGTTCTCACTGCAGTTGATTTTAGCCCCCCTCCCTTTGGCATTTTTTGTTGTCACAGTGGAAGGTTGTGCTACTGGCATCTGGTGGGGAGGCTCAGGATGCTGCTAAATCCTACAACTCCCAAGGTCGCACCACAACAAAGAATCGTGCAGCTCCAAATGTCAGTCATGCTGAAATCGAGAAACCTGATAAATGGGAAATGGCTCCACATTGGGGGCCTTCAGGGTGTGTTCTCTTCCCCACAATCTGAAGAGCTGCTTGCAGGGAGTTTTCTTGTTCTGGGACCCAGAAGCTAGAGCTGGAAACCACTGAACACAGCAGTGAAGGAGAGCTAGTGCAGCTAGTGAGGGCACAGAAAGAGAACCAGATGCAGGAATGGCATCAGGAGAAGAAAAACAGGAAATTAATTACCAAACCCATACAAACTCAATGAAGCCTTCTGGATAAGGTCTTTGGTGTGGTAGAAAAAGCAACCCAAAGGTGGGATGTGGAGGTGGTCATTAACTTACATGTTTACATATATAATAATTACATATATACCACCTAATTTCCGTAATTACATAACATATACGATACATTCATTAACTGACACCAGTTGGTTGTTAACATACAGTGTGCTGGAGCCATTGGTGCTAGTGGCTTTTGTCCAGTAGATGAGGAGATGATGGCCCTATAAGGTCATCTGTGTATTTATGCATGCACTCATGCTCACCAGGGTCAGGAGTGTACTATGGAGTTGCTTTTAAAGCCAGGATAGGTACTTCTAAGGAGCCCTCGGGGGGGCAAACCCTTTGGTGGGGAACACTAACCCATACCTGGTAGATACCATGCTGCAAGATAGCAGTTTTGAGTTCTGAGTTTATTTTTCCTGTGGCTCATGATGTCCCAAATGAAAAGATATTACAAAAATGTTTGGAAAAAGCAGCTCTGCAGTAAAAATGTTCTTTCTCATAAGGATTTTATTTTTTTCTTGAAACCCTTTATAAATGCCATTTATTCCATATATATGTGAGTTTTCTGGCAAAACTTGAGAGGGGGATAGGAATAAGTCTGGTGCGGTAGGCTTTAAGATTTAGATATCTGTCCAAGTTTGAGTAACAACCCTGCCCCCTACCCTTACAGATATTTTTGATTCTTGGTCAGTAACTGTTTATCTGTGTCTTGGTGTTTAAAACCAAATCTAGTTTAAATAGAAAAAATCCTGAATTTTAGTTTCACCTTCAGTGAAAAGTCAGGGTTAATAGACCTTGATTTTTAAAACATGTTTAATTTTGAAATACTATGAAATTTATTTACACATTTGTCTCAGTGTCATTACCTGTTTTCCATTCATGACAGTGTGACTGGTGTCTTACCGGTGGGACTTCCTCTGTTGTGTCAAAGTTCACTGTTTGAAATAAGATGGGAAAGCTTTAATGGAGAGGAGTAATGTTTGCTGTGAGACTCTCATTGATTCTCAATCATTCTCCTAGTACCCGGGTTTCCTATTTTGCTGTTTTTGATGGACATGGAGGAATTCGGGCCTCAAAATTTGCTGCACAGAATTTACATCAGAACTTAATCAGGAAATTTCCTAAAGGTGAGATAGAAATACATCAGTTCATGTTCATCTTGGTGTTTGCTGTTTGTGTGACTCACTGAGATGTTGTTTTGGCTTTTACAAAAATCATGACAATTAAAAGAGCGGAGCTGAGCCCAGCCAGGTGTCTCAGTGATTGAGTATCAACCCATGAACCAAGAGGTCACAGTTCGATTCCTGGTCAGGCACATGCCCAGGTTGTGGGCTCAAGCCCCAGTAGGGGCTGTGCAGGAGGCAATGATTCTCTTTCATCATTGATGTTTCTATCTCTCCTTCTCCCCTTCCTCTCTGAAATCAATAATAATATATTTAAAAATAATAAATAAGTAGAAGAGCAAACCTGTGAGGAGTGGGCTCTGAGGTGAGCAGGCGTGCCTGTAGAGCTCCTCATGTCTCTGAGTGATGGGCACCTCTCCTGAGATGTCTGTGACACAAGTGTGTGTCCTGCCTTTATACTTGGGAGTCTACTACCACCAGTGCAAGTGGCACTGTCCTGTAGGTGAAGAAATAGATAGTTTTTATTTAAAAAAAAAAAAGTTTTTGTTGATTTCAGAGAGAGGAAGGGTAGGGGAGAGATAGAAACATAATTGATGAAAGAGAATCATTGATCGGCTGCTTCCTGCACACGCCCTGCTGGGGATCAAGCCTGCAACCCAGGCATGTGCCTTGACCAGGAATTGAACCATGACCTCCTAGTTCATAGTTCAATGCTCAACCACTGAGCCACACCAGCCATGCAGATTGTTCTTGGTCGTAGTTCAGAAACAGAATGACAGTGGGTGGAGGGTAACCTTTCCTCCTTAAGAGTTTTTCTTTTGTTCCTTCTGTAATAGGAGATGTAATCAGTGTGGAGAAAACTGTGAAGAGATGCCTTTTGGACACTTTTAAGCATACTGATGAAGAGTTTCTTAAACAAGCTTCAAGCCAGTAAGTGAAACCACATGAAAACGTATGAATGAAGTGTGTGTGTGTGTGTGTGTGTATGTGTGTGTGTGTTCTTTTCCTGGATGCATTTCAGATCTTCTGATTCTGTTTCATACTAACACTCACTGTCTGAAAAGTACCTGGCACCAAGTAAGTTCTTGTAATTGTTAACTAAATCTGAAACAGAAAAAAAGCAAGTATTAAGGAAACTCTTCATTTTAAAGTTTACACCACTTCCCATTCAACTCTGGAAATTAGTTTCGAAGTGCTAGCATGTTGGTGGTGACTGTATTTCTGATGTCTTTCCCCCCAGGAAACCTGCCTGGAAAGATGGGTCCACTGCCACGTGTGTTCTGGCTGTAGACAACACTCTTTATATTGCCAACCTCGGAGATAGTCGGGTATGCGGCTCTGGAGCCACCCGCTTAGCTAACACCATGTTCTGTGGGGAAGAGTGGCAGTAGGCGCTTGTTGACTAAGATTGCAATGACGAAGGCTGGTCGGAATGTTCTGCGGGATTGCTGCAGGGGCTCCAGTGCAGAGTGTAGATTCTGGGTCGGGAGCAGCAGCTGAGCTTGGGTCACTTTGTTCCCTGGGAAGACTTACATCCTGCAGTAGACCTCTTCTGCTTTAAAACCCAAATACATTCTTTTTGTTTTCTATGTTTCCTTTTGTGTGTGTACTCTGTCAGGGTAGTGCTATAGGTGGGAATTTAATTGGTGTGCAGTTACAAATATCATTTAACTTCCTATCTCTGACCACAGGCCCTTGCCTCTCAAAATCATTGTTATGTTAGAATAACTCAAGAGCTGCAGCTAGGAAAGTGCTAGGTGATGCGCCATTCATGCAAGGAGCCCAGTTCACAAGGCTAAGGGAGAAAAGCCAGTCATTTCCCACTGCTGACAGCCTGTGGTGGGAAACGAAGCTAGAGGCTGGCCTCCTGCAAGGTGGGTTCAGCCCCCTGCCTTCAGTCAGGAGCTTTTTCAGCCAGCCTCCGTCTCGTGTTCCTTTGGAGTCACAGTGACAGAGTGACTCTTCCCACCCATAAGCACCATCTGCAGAACTGAAGACAGCTGCCCCCAGCCCCTGTAGCTTTTAGGGTGATTTATTTCCTGAAGAAATAAACAGTAGGGATGCTGCCGTGAACATTACAGATGACAGTCCCTGCCTAGTGGAGTTTATATTCTGGAGGTCCTCTTAGTAGGCTATCTCCAGTACATAAGTGTTTTGACCAAGTGACTTAAAATAGCATGAGTAAAATAGGACCAAGACAAAGGGAGAGGGGGGACTTTGGAGTCAAATTTGAATCCTGTGTGTGACATTGGACATGATACCTATCCTCCAGGCCTCAGCTCCCTCCTCTGTAAAATCCAGGTTTATCCAGAAGTTACTACATGGTAAATGTGGTGTCAGGAGCACATGGAGATGCACTTGGTCAGCATGCCCTCATCTTTGCCTCATGTAGACTTGGGAGCTAGTAACTGGGCCCAAAGGGGGCTTTGGTGCTCATTAACTGCCTCCTTTCCGCGTCACCCATGAGAGGACAACATCTTAGAGAGGATGAGTGCCCACTCTGGTCACCCAACAGAGGCCCGCACCGGGGCCTCTCTCCCTGGCTAGTGTCACTGTGGCACCACTTTGCCACTTGGGCTCTTCTTTGGACTCGCGTTTGTCGGCAGGAAGCTGACTCTGAAACTTCATGGTTGACCTTTGTCTTCAACTGGTAACTCTGGGCACTGGGCTCCTGAATTTTACTGCTGTTGTAATCTCCATCTTCCCAGGCAATCCTGTGTCGTTATAATGAGGAGAGTCAAAAACATGCAGCCTTAAGTCTCAGCAAGGAGCATAACCCAACACAGTATGAAGAACGAATGAGAATACAGAAGGCTGGAGGAAACGTCAGGTAACCAGGGACTGTGGGAACTCCAGGGAGGGAGGGAGGAATGGCCATGAGTCCTCCAAGGGGAGAACTCTCCTTGTCATGCAGTCTTTAGTGCGATGAGTCTGAGGTCTGACCTGTGAAGTAGGTGAATGAAGGTTGTAGGATTTCACTAGGTCCAAGTGGGAGCAAAATGTGTGCAAGAAACATGCCTTCCTAAATTTGCAAAGGGAGGAAACCTGCCTCAAATTCAAGGTCACCATTTGCAACAGTTCTCTGGTCCTGGGAACTTCCATAAATACTATCATTGGTCACAACTAAATAAGTTACAGTTTAGGGGCGTTGCTCAGAGAGAACATCTAAAGTATGTAGACAGGAAGTATGTGACAGGTTGACGGTCTCTGGGTTTCCTGGGGAGTAGCTCCCCTGGCCAGGGGCCTTCTGCCCTTGTTCTGCCCACAGCACCTCCATTCATCTCTCCAAGGCTTCAGTCTTAATACACTTAACAGGGATTCACTCCTGGGACATGGTGTTATGGATTTGACCAGAAGTGTTTTCTGGTTCATTTTTCAGTTTGACCATTAGTGTTACATTTTTGTTGGAGATGAGAGAGAAATATCAGCAATATAAGGCTGCAATCACTTGTCCTTAGACAAGTTTTACTCCAGGCTGATTCTAGCCAGCAGTGCAGAGAGGTCTGGAGAGGAGGCAGCACTCTTTGAGTTTGTTCAAAATTGCTGGAATGGTAGTAAGAGATAACCTTGGTCATAGTGTGGCCATCTTTGCACTGATGGGACTGTGGGCATGGTTCTAGACCTTGGGCAGTGGCACGTGCCCCATTTTCCCATTGTGGCTGCTGCAGAAGTTAATGGTCGAGAATGTGATCCCAGTGTTAATGTCAGTATCATCTTTTCTGCCCTTTCGTATAACTTTAAAATTCTGCTTTGCCTGAACTCCTTGGAAAGGCTTTTGACATTGACAGTCCTATGGGTGAATGGTCAGCTCTGTTGCAGGTTCTTCCTTTTTCCCAGTACCCACCTTAGGGAGCTCATTTGACAGTGTGCTCAAGGTGAACCCTGCACGTCAGAGAAGAGGGCAAGGAGGCTCAGGTGGCAGGGACCTTGCTCCTCAGCAGTAGGGCCAGGCTGTGACCCCATCTGCCCGAGTCTAGGACTGGTGGGCATTTATTTCCCTCTACCCTTCCCACTTCATTAAAATTATCAAGCATTTTATAAAATTAGAGTAAACATTTTAATATCTACCACCTAGATTTAGTAATTAACATTTTGCCATATTTGCTTCTTGTGTGTGTATGCTAGGCAGAACTATCTGGAAGTTAGTTGCAGATAACACTTAAGAAAATAATTCTTTAGGTTATCTGTAATTCTGTCTGTATTCATATTTTTCCAAGTTGTCCCCAAAGTGTCTTGGTTTGAAAGCAGGGTCCAGCCAGCGCTCATGCTCACCTTGGATTCACATCATTCAGTGTAGAATGGTCTCCACTCTTCCTCAGGTTGGATCATGCAGTTGTCTAGGCCAGTGGTTGTATAGGGTCACGTTCTGAGTTTGCCTGTGTTTTCATGTTATCATTTAAGTTGTTTGCATGTTTTTCCTATAAACTAGAAATTAGCTCTAAAGTCTTCTTTAGATTCAGATTAAACATTTTTAGAAAAATATTTATTGGGGGGTGGCCTATATTTGATTATCCCTCACTTTAGTGGCCACGTCAGGTCACTGTTGCTGAGCTCCCAGCACTGGACTTTGGTGGTAATGAGTCCCCACAGGGAAAGGGACAGGTTTTCCTGTGTGATCAGCAGGTGATCTGGAGAGATGTGCTTTAGCACCTTGGGAACATTCTGTTTTGCATCCATCTTTCATCTCATGGTGGTAGGTCCCTTAGTGATTCTTGTCTGAATCTATTTCATAGGGATGACAAAGATGATTTCCTGCTTCTGGAATTCCTGCCACAGGTATTAACAGGCATCCTACAAGGAGAGGCTTTCCTTCATCAGTGGGGTATGAATGAACCATACTTGCTTCCCAGAAAGCAGGGTCGATGTTCAATTCTTTCATTATCAATTTGCAAAGTAAGATGGCCCCCTGCACTTATGGAAATTAGTGGGGTTTTTCCCTCTCTCTTTTTTTTTTTTTTGATGTTTAGAGACAGAGGGGAGGGGAGGGGAAAGAGAGAAAGATTGATTTGTTAACTTAATTTAACTTATTCATTGATTGATTCTTGTATGTTCCCTGATGGGGTTGAAACTGCAACCTTGGCCTATCAGAACAATGCTGTGACCAACTGAGCTACCCAGGGGCCTAGTGGTTTTTCTTTTCACTCCGCTTCTCTCCCTTTCTCCTCTCTCCTTGCTCTGTGAACCATTTGTCAGGGGGTGTGATTTCAGTGCTGATGCTAGTCATAGGGTCCTGGTGCGTTTCCTGCTCACATTACCCCCAGTGTAGCCAGTGAAAGGGAGTGCTTTTGAGCTGACTGTTCCATTCATCTTTAAAAACCTAGCTCCGTGTGCTGGGGACTCTTGTTTCACCTGGGATGTCACTAATTCTAAGTCTGTTCAGTACTCTTTAGATGGTGAGCGTAGGCTGCTATTTGTTATTCAAATTTAACAGTACAGGGCTTTCTCTTTTGTGGGTCAGTAGTCATAGATCTGTCCTTTTTGCTGAAAATCTTGGTTCCTAATAACAGTACATTTATTTGCATTATCACTATTACAAAGTTTGAGTTCCTTTTCTCTTGTCCTTGAACTATTTCTCATGAAGGACATGTTTGTAAACCTAGAATAATTGCTTTCACTGTGCTTGTGTAACCACCTTGGTCATTATCACTAGTTTCAATTTGTCTTAGATTTTAGGGCTTTTCCCCCTATATTATAAGCCATTTACATGGTGAAATCGGAACTTTGTGCACTGTTGTTGGGGATGTAAAATGGTGCAGTTGTGGTGGAAAACAGTATGGAGGTTCCTCTAATATTAAAAATGGAATTACCATGTGATCCAGCAATTCCACAAAATAATTGCAAGCAAGGATTTGGACGGGTGTGTGCACATACATGTTTATAGTAATCCTAGAGGCCCAGTGCATGAATTCATACACTGGTGGGGTCCAGTCAGCCCGCCCCGATGGGGGCCGATCAGGGGCAGGGCCAGCCAGGGTGAGGGGCTACGGTCATTCCGGTTGTTGTGCCATTCGGTCGCTGGGCTTTTATTATATAGGATTATTGACAACAGCCAAACAGTGGAAGCAATCCTAGTGTCCATCAGTAGAATGAAGTGATAAACAGATGTGGTCCATCCATATAGTGGATACTATTCAGCCTTATAAAAGAAGGAAATCATCTCATTGTCTACAGCATGGATCAACCTTGAGGACATGATGCTGAGTGAAATGAGCCAGTCACTGAAGGACAAACACTGTATGATTCCATGAATATGAGGTGCATAGAATGGCCAGATTCATAGAGACAGGAAGTGAAATGGGGGTCTCCAGGGAAAGAGGGTGTGGTGTGAGTGTTTAACAGAGGTTCAGTTTGGGAAGATGAAGAGAGTTCTGGAGATGATGGTGGTGATGGCTGCACAATAGTGTGAACTCAGTTAATGCCACTCAACTGTACATTAAAAATAGTTAAAGGCAAATCTTATCTTGTGTATATTTTTACTATAATTTAAAAATAAAAACCCACACTTACATGGTTTAAATAAAAAGGCTTATTTATAGATTCCGTGCCTGTCCCCCTTATTCATAGTTCTGGATTCTCTCCAATGCTGCTTCTTACAGAAAGAAGCAAATCTGTGTACAGATTCTTATTTTTCCTACTTTCTTCCACCAAAGGTAGCATACTGTGTGCAGCAGTGTGTCACACTATCTCAGTGGACTTCTCTGAGAAGGTGCAGTTTTATTTTTATTTTACGAGGAAGGCAACTGGACAGGACAGATGAGGCAAGCTTGCATGTGTAGCATTTAGATGTAAATATGCAGTACAGCCCTAACTGGTTTGGCTCAGTGGCGAGCATCGCCCTCGGACTGAATGGTCCCTGGTTTGATTCCAATCCAGGGTATGTATCTTGGTTGTGGGCTTGATCCCCTGTAGGGGGTGTGCAGGAGGCAGCTGATCGGTGTTTCTCTCATTGATGTTTCTAACTACCCTAACTCTCTATCCCTCTCCCTTCCTCTTTGTAAAAGAAAATCAATAAAAATATATTAAATAAACAAATATGCAGTGCATGTGTCTGGGACCAGGTCACATTCAGGTCTCGGATATTGAAAAGGCGCTATTCTGGAATCCACCTTCAGTTACTTCGTTAGCATCCATCATAATAAGACACAGGACTTGGGCATCTGAGTCAGAAGAGGATGCAAAAGCATTGAGACTGACTGTGTCCTGCTTTTGCTGATGTGCTAGAGGAGCTGACGTTAGAGCAGTGTGCAGCTTATCCTGGCCGCCAGGGCAACCGTCTCAGTACCTCTCTCTCTCATTGTGAAGGAGAAACTGTAACAAAGTACCAGCAAAGATCACAGCCATCAGGGCTTCTGTCTGTAACTAGCAGGAAAATAGTTGTCTGGCTGAGGAAGCATGAAGCTATGATTGATGGGCAGGTGGGAAAGGGATGGGAACTAACACAATTCTGAGCAAAAGTGGGGAATGTGCCAGAGAAGGTGGTACCCAGGATTGATGGGTTGAAACTTAAGAACCCCTCACTCCTCAGCATGGTGGTCTGGGAGAACTCTGAGGGTAGTGAAGAAGCATGTAGTCCTGTTGAACTTGTCTGAGGATGAAGGTGGTGGTCCAGCCCTCTGCCCAGGTCATGATACTCAGTCTCCTTGAAATGAGCTGCATTCATGATGTGGCGGAGGGGTATCCACACCGGGCACCTGGCCATTTGGTCACTGAAGAAGCACTTGGTTGGATTCTTATGCTTTGAGCGGCTTCCTTAATGGCACTCTTAGGGCTGAGGGACTCCCCCAACCCTACCATATCCATCTTCACTTCTGCTCCTGTGTACCTCGCCCGCTGCTGTTTGCTGTAGTAATTGTATGGGGAGTACTGCTTCTTTCAGGTGCCTGGTTAAGTCTGTTGCTGATCCCTCAGCTGTTCCTGCGGGGAAGGTGACTGTGCAGGGTGTAGGGCCAGGACCAGGCTCAATTCTGACTCTGAGACAGTGGCCCAGGCCCAGGCGAGGATGTTCTGCCATGTGCCTCCATTCACGCAGCATCTCCAGGCCCAGCTTTGGTGTTTGCCAAAAGCTCTCCTGCATCTTCTCCAGTTGGTTTCTCCTCTGGCTGTGTACATGAGAGTCTGAGGGCCCCCAGTGGCAGCTGCCTAAGGTCACACAGTGGCAGCACCACCAGAATTGTTCTTGGGGCCTTGAGTCAAGGACTGCTGTTCCCCTGTATTTCAGCATGGTCCCACTTATGGGTCACCCTACCATCTTTGTATCCTTTACCTAAAAATAGGATGGGTAAAAGTGTAATGCTATGCAGAGTGTTACCAATTGTATGTAAGTTAATCATACCCATACCCAGTGGAAACAAAAGGTGCTGTGGAGTCTGGAATGGTCACTTTGAGTATTTTCCAAACCTAATTAGATTGAAATGCAAAATAGTCCTCTGTTCCACCTTTTCTTAACCCTGTGTGCATGCTCAAATCACCTAAGGAGCTTTAAGATAAAGAGAAAAACAAAGCCAAGCCCCTATTCAGTCCAGTTAAGTCCACTCCCAGCTTTGGGCAAATCAACTGGCCATTGCAACCACATAAGTGCAGCCAGAGGGGGCACTGTTCCCTCTAATGTACAGCCTGGCTGAGGCCGCAGGAATATTAATGACCGAGGTCAGTGGTCAGTAAACAGTCAACAGAGCCAAATATCAACAGTACTTCTTCAAAATAGCCTCGCCCAGGCCAAAAACCGACTTCTGCGAATGGGCCACGAAGTTTTGATCGCACTGTATGCGTGCCCGCACGTGGTATTTTGTGGAAGAGCCACACTCAAGGGGCCAAAGAGCCGCATGTGGCTCACCAGCCGTAGTTTGCCGACCATGGACCTAGAGTAAACATGTCAAACTCAAAGGCTAACATGGGCCAAATAAACAAGGTTTAAGTTTATGTGGGCCGCAAAAAAACAAAAGCTTCGATTTTCATAGAAACATAGGTTTATTTCGATAGAGACATGCTGAATACAAAGGGCTGAAATAAATGAGTCATCGTTAACATAAAATAATGGAACATTTTAATGTAAATTAATATTTTTCCTTGAACACTGACTTACCAGACAATGAATAACTGCGCATATTAATAAGTGTAACGCAAATAAACCTATTTTTTTTGTTCTCTGAAAGTGAAATATTTCCTGGAGCACACAACACACCAAACAAGTTAGTCCAAGACTAAGGACATGGCAATTGGCTGCTAAAATATTCGCTGCTAGTATTAGTGAGAGAAATGGTGCACCTGTGCGCCAGGGAAATGAATGCAACACAATTATAGTAATCAGTCATTAGAACATTGTAGTTCATTATTAATAATTATGTGTAACAGGATATTGTAAAAATTAAGTTATGAAATTTTTATTAAAACGTTTCTTACATAACTGTTATATTGTCTGGGCAGCAAAAATATTTGTTGTGGGCTGAGAGTTTGGCATGCTTGACCTAGAGCAATGGGGACTCAGCACATCTCCTGTGTATTATTTGAGGTCAGGAGATGATGCTGTTTTTGTTTTTTTATTATTATTTGTTTCATATTTTTATTGATTTCAGAGAGAAAGGGAGAAAGAGATAGAAACATCAATGATGAGAGAAAATTATGATTGGCTGTTTCCTGCACAGCCCCCACTGGGATCGAGCCCACAACCCGGGCATGTGCCCTTGACCAGAATCGAACCTGAGACCTTTCAATCGCAGGCTGACGCTCTGTCCACTGAGCCAAACCGGCTAGGGCATGATGCTGTTTAATGTGAATTCTGCAGGCTACATCTTTCATTCTGTCCTATTTTTCTGATTTTAAGATCAGATTGTAAGTACTGTGGCCTTATGATCTGGCAGATGGAGTCTGAATTGTTTTCCCTTTGTTTTAGGGACGGGCGTGTCTTAGGTGTGCTGGAGGTATCCCGATCCATTGGGGATGGGCAGTACAAGCGCTGCGGGGTCACTTCTGTGCCAGACATCAGACGTTGCCAGCTGACCCCCAATGACAGGTAAAAATGCCCGCTAGAGACATGGGCATGCACATAATATGGTCTATCTATCCCCAACTCTTGGCTTGTAAGGAGCCGTGTCTTGGGCACTGTGTTAGGCCCTGGAGGTGCAGAGAGAAAAAATACAGTTCTACGGTTCTGCTCTAGTGGGCCACACAGTCTGGTTGGGGGCACTCATGTCCTAGGAGTATGGGCTGCTCTGGGAGCCTGGCCAGTGGGGGTGGGAGGTGTCCCTGTTGGAGGAACAAGAGGGTTTTCTAGTAGAGGAAACACACAACAAAGGCATTAAAATGGGATGGTGTGAAAGGGCGCCAGGCTGCTGCCCTTGACAGATTGATAGGCAAATGTTGGCAGGGGATGTTGGTGAGAGATGATGGCCACTGACTGAGTTCCATGCTGAGGAGTTTGAATTTTAGCTTCTCATGATGGAGGGTCATGGGCGATTTTTAGGCAGACCAAGCTAGGTTGAGAAAGAGGGTCTATTCAGTTGTCCATCACCATTCTAAGCTGCCTGAAGATGAGGCACCACACTGCCTGGCTGCCTGGTGGCAGGAAGCCCTAAATGCTGGGGTTTGGAGCAGGATGGAGCCCAGGGGCTCATTAGGATATGGTGGTGGCCCTGGCTTGAACGGGGCTGAATTGAGGCAGTGGTGCAGAGAATAGGAAAGAGCTCAATAAGGGGCTCACAAGAATGAGTGATGAGGGAGGTGAGAAAGGCTCATTAATCAAGCTGCAGCCTTGCGGGTAGGAACTCTTCTGAAGCATAGCTCTGAGCCTTGGTCTCAGTGCTGCGAGTAAGGAGCCCTACTTTAGTCCTCCCTGCTCAGCCTCCCTGTTCTCCATGCCTGCCTTCAGCACGCTATGCTCTTGCTGACCCTAGGGTCTTGGAACATGTTTCCACTAGCCCCGCCTCTGTTTTTCTGAGTGATGCCCCAGAGAGTCTTGTCTGCCTGCCCCCAGACCAGGCCCCTGCTGTGTGATATGCTAGTTCCCCCATTCTGGATGGTTGTCACCTCACTGGAAGGGGCAGGAGTCTTCTGGGACTTGTGCCCCACACTGTCCCAGGCACAGACTAGGTGCTGGTCAATGCCTGTTGAATGAATGCCCAGTCAGAAGAGGAGAACTAAGACCTGGGTATGACAGTGAGAAAAGAGAGGTGGTTAAAGCCGTGGGGAACATTCCTTAGTGCTTGGAGAACTAAAATCTTTCTATCTGAGCCACCATTGTTCAGAATGACTTTCCTTGGGAAGCCCAGAGGATAGGGGTTTTGGTAGGGAAATAATCCCGTTTTCAGACAGTGAAGGTGGGTGGTGGTTCTCCTAGGGCCTTGGACTCAGCATGGCTTCTAGGATGTTCCATTTAGGTCTAACCACTAGTTTTATGTCTTTGGGAAATGGCTCAAGGCAGGTGGCGAAAGAAATTCTGTGTATATTTACCATAATACCTGATGTTTTTATTCAGTGATGTACCTTTTGCGTTTATATAAGAAAGTGCAATACCTACCTAATGTTTGAATTCATACTTTCAATATTGGTGAACAGAAGGCATGTTCCAGTTTTGATGTATTAGACCCACCTACAATTATTTTTAAGTAGTTTTAATCTTTGTCTCATAGAAGTCAAATTACTTTTTTAAAAATCTTAGTTTTTTTTGTAGTTGGACAAGTGTTTGTTTCTTTTTCCTCTGTCACTGGCAATTTTATAGAGTTTGCTGTTAAAACCCATTTATATTTCTTCCCCGTATTGTAGGTTCATTTTGCTGGCTTGCGACGGCCTCTTCAAGGTCTTTACCCCAGAAGAAGCTGTGAACTTCATCTTGTCCTGCCTTGAGGTAAGAAATTGCACAAGGGAGTGAGTGCCAGTTGTCCAGCTGCACCTTACTGACACCCCAGTCCTCCCCTACATCCCCATTGTTGGGGGGTATCCTCGTGTGCATTTTCAATGTCCGGGAGACTGGTCAGTTTGTCCTGCCTGCCCTGATGGGGACTGAGCAATTCTTCCTTCTGGCGATGCTGTCTCAGGAGAGTGGTGGGGTGCAGGATTCCCCTATTCACCAGCACCCTTTCCTGCCCGGCAGGATGAGAAGATCCAGAGCCGGGAAGGGAAGCCTGCTGTGGATACCCGCTACGAAGCAGCCTGCAATAGGCTGGCCAACAAGGCAGTGCAGCGGGGTTCGGCGGATAACGTCACGGTGATGTTGGTGCGGATAGGGCACTGAGGGCGTGGCATGCCGCTGGCTTCAGAGGTTTATGTGTGTGTGTACACATTATGTGTGTTTCGTGTACTCCTGTGGGATTCCCATGGTTGTAAATAAAAGTTTCTCTTTTTTTCTAATCTTATCTCATTACATTTGGAGAAACTCGTGACCCTTCAGAAGCTAATTGTGTTTGCTTTTGAATATATTCTGGTCGTCTTGTTAGGACAGGTGGATCCCAACCCCAGGGCTAATGGAGCACTCCAGCTTCTTTCAAATTTCCATACAAAAATAAGGTTACAGAACATTTTATAGCTCGATCCAGGCTGAGCCAGGACAGTAGACTGGTACACAAAGTTATCTACTCTAGAGTGGTGTGCCCCTGACGAGCTCTCCGAAGCAGCACGGTGGTTCAGCTTGTTTCTAATTCCTGTGAGAACAGGCACAGTCTGGCTGAAGGGCTCTGGAGGACTGGCTTTTTACCAGGTCTCCCATCGGGATCCCCTGGGCGTGGAATGTACTTCCCGGATGGAGCAGTCAAGCTCCTGTGGAGTGTGGCCTCTGAGAGCCAACTGCATTGTAAGAATGTGCATTCAGTGAGCTCTGCTGGGCTGAGTCCACCTTCCAATAACACCTTACAGTGGTACCCTTCGGTTACAGATGTCCAAAGCGGAAAATGCATGCATGATCAGCCTACCGGGAAGATTAGAAAGTACTTTTCAAACTCTTATTTCTGTATAAAACAAGCCATCGGTACTGCTGTAATTACTTTTTAGGAAAGCAGCTCTAAGGTCGTTTTGGGCAAACGCTTGCCTCGGGATGATGTAAGATTTTAAGAACCTTGCCATTCAGAAAGCTGTTCTGTAATGTTCTCTGGCCCCCGCCCAGCATACACACATGGTCTTATCACCCAGTCGGTTGGTGGGATTGGTGTCCTGCTACAAGTACCTCAGGGGAACATTTTGAGCACACCCTTCCCCAGAGAGTTACATGCCAGGCTCCATTGCTGCTGATGAACTGGCATCATTGAAGGAAAGAGCCTCAACATCTCCAATTGGGAAATAAGTTGCTCGATAAATATCCTCCTATAGCAAACTAGGTGTCAACATGTGACTCACATGCCCCTAATTCCCAGCGTGCCATTGTCTCAGAGCTGGAAGAGGCTTGCCACTGTGGCTTCCCTGGCAAGTCCCTTCCCCCACCTTCATAGAGTCCAAGCCGCCTCCCCAGCTGGGGGTCATCCCCCACCTCACCTCAAAGAGGTCATTCCTCCCCATCCTCAGTGGACCTGGCCTAAAACGATTAAGATTTTATATTTTAAGGTCTATACTTTATTTTTGTAACTTTGTATAATCACGTAACAATTCTTAGGTACTTGATCAATTCATAAAGTCAGTTATATAAATTATTTCATCTGGCAATACTAAGTAAATACTCTAATAAATGGCTATAATACTTATGTGGAGAAAATGAAAGAGATCTGTGGCTTTTTCAAGGGTAAAAGATAACTTTCCTAAAATATCTGTGGCTACACCAGCCCTTATCAGAGAGTGTGGGGACACAGGACACCAGGCCAGCTGGCACTTCCTAGTAGGGCGGGTGCAGGTCCTACTGAGAATCGTGCCTGTGCCAGGCTGGCAAGGGGTACAGGGTTTCATGTTGGGAGCCAGCTGGGAGTGAGATGTTTACTTCTGTGTAGGAGTAGAAGCTTTAGGCTCCTGGGGAAGTCATCCTGAGGCCAGCTAAGAGGTTAAGGTGACAAGAGCCATATCCTGTGGTAGCAGATTTCATGTGAACCCATTGTGTGTATGAATGGGGGTTGGGTAACTTCAGAAGGACCACCTGCTCTGGGACATTCTTGCTCCTTAGATCAGTGGTTCTCAACCTGTGGGTCGCGCGACCCCTTTGGGGGTCGAACCACCCTTTCACAGGGGTCGCCTAAGACCATCGGAAAACACATATATAATTACATATTGTTTTTGTGATCAATCACTATGCTTTAATTATGTTCAATTTGTAACAATGAAAATACATCCTGCATATCAGATATTTACATTACGATTCATAACAGTAGCAAAATTACAGTTATGAAGTAGCAACAAAAATAGTTTTATGGTTGGGGGTCACCACAACATAAGGAACTGTATTAAAGGGTCGCGGCATCAGGAAGGTTGAGAACCACTGCCTTAGATGGAATGTGCTGTAGGCTGACAGCTATGTAGGTGCTGTCACTGCTGCAACAGCACAGGGGACTTGGTGGGAACCAGCCCTCTCAAGACCAGTTCTTTCTCAGTATGGTCTCCATCTCTACCTGTCTGAGCTTGGAGCCTATTTCCGTCTAACTAGAGTGGATGCTTGAAGAGCCCCAGAACCCATGGACCCTGCTAGGCTAGGGTGGGGACCAGGGGCTGCTAGCTTCTGGGAAGCCTCTTTTCAGCCTGGTCAGGTGGGTGGACGGGGCCTTCAAGGATGTTCTAGCTCTTCCATATGGCTGGTGGGTCCTAGCAGTGAGTCAGCCTCAGAGGGGATGGGAAAGGACTTGGTCTATTAAAAGGTTTACCGCTCCTCTTTGATAAATCATCTGTCTGCAAGTTGAGCGTGCCAGTTAGCTTGTACATGTTAGAAGTGAAAGGAGCTCCTGGAAGCTGGGCCCAGACTCTCCGCCTCCCACCCCATAAGCCCTGTCCAGTGTCTTGTCTGATGTCCAAGGGGCCACAAAGAGAGTCTTGGGTCCTGTGATCAGTACAGACCAGGGGTGGGCAAACTTTTTGACTCGAGGGCCACAATGGGTTCTTAAACTGGACCGGAGGGCCGGAACAAAAGCATGGATGGAGTGTTTGTGTGAACTAATATAAATTCAAAGTAAACATCATTACATAAAAGGGTACGGTCTTTTTTTTTTTTTTTTTAGTTTTATTCATTTCAAACGGGCTGGATCCGGCCCACGGGCCGTAGTTTGCCCACGGCTGGTACAGACCAAAGGCGTGGTTGGGAGGGAGCCCCAGGTGGAGATGGGCACAGTGGGAAGGCTGCTGCTAAAGCTGGCCTTCCATGCAGCTCACTTACCCTAGGAGGCCCTGCAGCCCTGCACAGACTGCCTTGCCCCTCTACACAGGGCACCCCAGCAGGCAGACCGGCCGTTCCTCTGACGGCACTCTCAACACTTAAGAAAGATGGAAAGGGCGGGACTTGGCCACAGTGAAGAAGCTGAGGTTTTATTTATTTTTTAAATATATTTTTATTGATTTCAGAGAGGAAGAGAGAGAAAGAAATATTAGTGATGAGAAAGAATAATTGATTGGCTGGCTCCTGCATGCCCCACACTGGGAATCGAGCCTGCACCTGGGCATGTGCCCAGACCAGGAATGAAACTGTGACCTCCTGGTTCATAGGTTGATACCCAACCACTAAACCATGCAGGCCGGTGGAACTGAGATTTTAGACAAGCCAGTAGGCCAGCAGCGGGGGTCCCAGGCCTGGGTGCGCTGAACTCTGGTGAAGCGGGATCTTAAAGTCCTTTCTGGTTCTGGGACAGCAGGTTTGCTTGTCACCTCCCCAGGCTGCCTGGAGTGGCCATCTCTGAGCTGAACTGCAGGGGCCACTGTGTGCAGTTGAATGGGCTCTCTCCTGCATGTGGCCTCTGTCACTCCAACACTGCCCAAGGATTGTTGGGATCCAGCTCGATACTGCTCAGATGCCAAGGAGGAGAGCGCTGAACTGGGAGCCGTCTTGCACAGTGACGAGGGAGCCGCTAGCGTTGTCCAGGAAGACGGAGGTATACTGCCCTAGCTGTGAGACGGGCAGCGTCAGCCTGGGCACTGGCACACACCCTCAAAACAGCACCTCTGCCCCGTTCTAGTGCTTTCTCTCCAGCTCCATTGGCCCCTGCGCTTATGGGCTCCTGCAGTTCGCATTTGTGAGAGCGAACCTCTGCTCAGGGCCAGCAGGGGGTCAAGAGTCCAACATGCTTCTGTGCTGCATATGGAGCCTGTAAAGCTCTAACCTGGGGTGTGAGGGTGGCCCCGTCCCACAGGCCTGGTCTCTGACCTGCGGGGCAGGGCTACCGTGGGACTGATCAGTACTCTGGCGTGGCTGCTCCAGATGTGGTCCACACACCAGCAGGATCCCATCCCCTGGGAACTCCCAAAACTGCAGACTCCGGGGACCCACCCCTCCCGCATTTTAGGACTCCAGGTGCACCGTGAGCCATTTGACTCCCCCGTGTGTTTGGTGCCTGTGACCAGACCAGACCACTACATGCCTTTCAGCAGCTGGGCCTGCAGTCCTGACTGCTGCGTGAGCTCGGCGAGTTATCTAACCGTGCTGTGCTCTGTTCCCTGTTTGTGAATGGGAATAATGGCAGTGCCCCCCTCAGAGCGCCGTGACAGTGAAATGGGCACTCAGAATGGGGCCTGCATAGTGCTATTTAAATGTGAGCTGCTGTTCACATCCACACTGACAGTTTTTCTTTTTTAGTGAATCTCACCTTTGCATCAATTCCTTGAGTACTTGCCCAAATCCCCAGTGCTAGAAAGAGATTTGTGTAGGAAATAACTACATGTGCTGCTTCCTGCAGTGGCAATGGGCTCAGATGTCATGAGGGAGGTCAGTCTGGGCTCTGGAGCTGACCCCTGTTCTACCACTAGGAGCACCAGCCCTCAGTGTGGGATTTGGGAGGTCTCAACGCCTCTCCCAAGCCTGGAGTTGGGGTGCTGCACCCAGAGCCCCTTAGTGCCCACCAGCACCCCTCCCTGCCAGGTCACCCCATGGCCACAACCAGGTGGTACCCCCCATGCCCAAGCCTGCCCCTGCACCTGCAGATACAGAACACCGTTCACGGAGATGGTGAAGAGCTCACCGCTGCTCTGCAGACCTATGACAGCCTCCAGGGAGCTGCGGCCAAAGCAGAAAGAGGGTCACAGGGCCTCCACCCCAGACCCCACCTGCGTCCCTCAACTGACAAGACCCAGCAAGGTGCCAAGGGGACAGCTGTCTCGGGTCTCCAGGTGGAGGCACTGTCTGAACTGGGCTCCCAAAAGAGGCCAGTCTCCCCAGGGCCAGCTGTGCTGCAGGTTCGGGAAAGGCAAGCCTGGCCGAAGCTGGGGGCAGCTCTGAGGAACCCCACTGCACTGGCTGCTGCAGCTTAGGTGGGAGGGGCCGCAGAAAGCCGTGTCAGGCCAGTGTGGAGGGCTTTCAAAACCAGAATCAGAACTTTTGAACTTCACTTATTCCTTTCTTCAACAGCTATTGCCAGCATCTGCCTGGGTCTGGATCTGTTCTGGGTGGGGGGACAGAGGGAGGAACCCCTGCCCTCAGTGACCAGGTGCAGTTGGAAGGTGGGCATGATCATGCGCAGTGAAGGAAGTTTACAGGAGCTGGTGGGAGAATTAATGGGGAAGGGTCGCGCAGAGTGGTCTGGAAATGGCTGAGGTGGTGGGGGTGTGCCCAGGAAGCCCAGTTAGCTCCTGCTGCTGGGATGGGAGCGTTGGGGCCACCCAGGTTAGGGTGGCAGTGAGGATGGAGGAAAGGGTCCAGGTCCAGTGCCCCAAACTGCACTCCCCGCCCCCACCCGCACACCCACTCACGTGTGGTTCTGGCACTGGGACTCGATGCAGATGAGCAGGCGCAGGCGGTCCCGAGGGCGCTGCTGCTCTGGCTTCCTCTGCTGAGGGAGGGCTTAGGGGAGGGAGGGAGTAGTCACGGTGGGCGGAGTCGAGCCCCCCCCCCCCCCCCCCCCGCACTACCCCACTCCCAGTCCCACACACTCTGGCGCTAGGTCTTACCCACTTACCCACGTGCAGCGTGGCCGCAAGAGCATAGAAGCCCCCTACTGGCGCTGTGTACTGGCCGCTGGTCAGGTTCAGGCCCAGGCCGCGATAGAAGGCGCCCTCAGATTCGGGCTGTGGAGCGCAGACAGGGTCACCTGGGCCCACCACACACCCTCTCCTGGGCCCCTCCAGGCTAGGACTCACCAGGTAGTAGCCACCAAGTTCGTGCAGCGTCCGCCGCTCCACCGACACTTTCTGGCGCAGGCGGCAGTGGAAGGCATCCCCCACCAGCGGTGGGCTCATGGCCAGGGCCTCTGTCAGCGAGGGCACCCTGTCCCTGTCCCCTGCTGCCTCCTCTGGGGCAAGGCCCAGCTCCAAGCGCTCTCGCAGTGGCACCAATTCTGGCAGAGCAAGTGGTGGCTGAGCCCAGCCCGCCCTCCTTTCCATGCCCCCCACCCCTCAAACCCCTCACAGAGTCTCGGCCTGCTTGGCAGGCAGAAACTGCCTCCTGACCCTGCTGCTGCTCCTGTTTCCCTTCACACTTCGGCTACCGGGAAGTTTAGGGCAGAGTCACACCCAGTGCCCGTGTTCTCTGCCTCACCTCCCTATCCTACCCACATTGCCCCCTTCGTAGCGGTGTTTTTTCTGTTTATGCTTTTATTGTATCAGCGAACACAATCATATCAACCAGCCCTGGTCAACTTTGGAAGGAAGCTGGGTATACATAAATAATCATTGCAACTATACTGGAAATAATATGTAGGCTCTTCAGCCTCTGAAACGGTATCTAATGGGCCACTACACTGAATTAAAGTGGGGGAAGGGCTCTGTCACTAGGTTCTTCATAATAAAATTAATCTAGTAAATAATGTGAGCTACCCATTAGCAGTGACCACAGTGCAGGGACATCCCCCAGTCCCACAGCTCAGCTCAGCTCTGCTGTCTCCCTCTATGCCTTCCATCTCAGTGCCCAGCCTGGGTCAGATGGTGACCTGGCGATGCTAAGCCTGTGCTGCCCCTGGTCCTCCCTGCCCCTCCAGGCAGCCTCCCAAGGGGCTCTCTCTGTGTCGGCAGCTGAGATCTGTCAGGGGAAGGGGCAGAAGTGATCGAGGGGAAGAAGTTGGGGTTTGCAGTCAGGGCCTGTGTTGACTGGGGTGAGCCTTAAATCTCCCTTGTGTCACTGGGGGAATCAGAGGAGCACTGTGAAAGTTTAAAGAGCCCTGACCCCCTCCCTGACACTCCTCACTTGAGGGGTATGGGTTCAGATCTGGCCTTTCCTGGACTCACCTGACTTCCCAGGTTGGGTGTGGGTGCTGGTCCCCAAGCACCTACTGAGCACCGAGTGGTTACGTCTGCCTTCCTCTGCAGTGTCTTTACCACACTCCCACCCCCAACTCCTGACCCTGAGCCTGGCACAGTGCAGGGGCCGGATTGGGTGCTGCAGATCCTGAGGACTAGCCTGTCTTGGCTCCTGTGGGAGACCTTCCCCAGCCCCACTCACACCCGGGGGTATATTCCCACATGGTGTGCATCTACTACCTTCTAGCAGCCGCCGGAACTCCTTCACCAGTTCTGATGAGTTGATGGGCCTTGAGTCATTCAGGAGGACAAAGGTTCGGGGGCATGGCTGGAAGGGAAACTTGGCAGTGAAGACATCTGAATGGACAGGCTGGGAACGATGGGCACCTGCTTGACAAGCTCCTGCCTCTAACAGGCAGGCAAAAGGGGCTCCCACTGGGGCCTCAGACTGCGGAGAAGGCAATGAGGTTCCATGCTTTGAAAGCTGCCCTCCCAGGCCAGCGCAGGTCTCCTATAGCAGGATGTGGAAGGAGGAGAGCTGATGGGGCTGCCTGGCATTCCAGAGGTGCAGGGTAAATGGTAAGAACAGGCCCCAGAGCCACCTGAGCCTCTGGCTTGACACTTTCTGTGCTCTCTGACCCCAGGCCCAAGGTAAGAGTCTGCTTGGTGAAGTGCTCAGGGCGTGCCAGTGGGGGCCGGCGAGGGGTGTGGTGGGCGGGGGGTTCACGGAGGGCCCACAATTGGAGGCTCCTCGCACACACATCCTGGCTGGCCTTGCTCACCTCCAACTTCCTGCCTTTGCCTCTGTTCTTCCTGGCCTTAGCGTTCTCCATGTTGTGCCTGAGGAAGGCTTTCCAGGTCTCCCAGGGGTCCTGGCTGGGTGTTCTCTCGGTGGTGGACTCCTAGAAAGCATCAGGTTGGTTCCCACCCCCTGTTCCTCGCAGCGGGTGTCCACCGAGCAGACTGGACAGGACACTTTTCAGGAGGTCATGTACAGGACTGGCCTTCAGTGGTGCCCTTGAAGCACAGCCCCTGGGGAGGACCATGGGGAATGGGCTGCCCCATGATCTGGGCGTTGTGGGAGAGGAAGACAGGTGCAGAGCTCTGTAGCAGGTGGCAATCCCGCCCCACTGCACCACCAGGCCTCTTCCAGCTCCCTCCATAGGAGAGCTACCGGAAGGCTCAGACCACTGACACCCACAGGTGCTCAGGAAGAGGCGACTGATTACCCAGGTCTCCAGCTATCAGCCGGCCTCCCATCCCACCCGCATTTTCTGAAGTTCCACAGAAGCCAATTTCAGCCCTCAGTCCGGGGGTCTGGGTGGCCCAGCACTGAGATGGCAGGATTTTAAGGCCTGTGCATGGGCTGTGACACTGCCCATCCTCCTCAGGACTTCCAGGACATTTGACCCAAGCAAGGACAGTGACCGGTCCAGAAATATCCATTCCCCTGCACACTGCATTCTGACCAATCATGGCAGACAGGAAAGTTGCCAGCAGGTACCTTCCAGGGAGAGGTCTGTAGCCCTTTGGGCAGCGGGCCTCAGATGATTTGGGCTCCAGGCAAGGCTGCCAGCTAGGAGAGAAACTGGCCCCAGAGGGCTTAGATGAGGTCATGGGCACCGACTCCAGGGCCAATGGAAGGACCTAGGGTTTTAGAGCTGGTCAGGTCCTTTCATCAGAGACAGAGCTGGTGGTCTCCCAGCCCTGGGCTTTCTTCAGCAACCACTGTGCCGTGGTGAGGATGTGGGGGCTTCTGTGGGAGGAGCCTCCAAGGGTCCAGGGCCTTGTCTCTCTCTCCAGCTTTCCCATGTCTCACTGGGTGGTGGGCCCTGTGAGGTGCCAACCTGCTGGCTGCTCACCGAAAACAAGGACCTGTGATGCCACTCTCAGCCTCACACTGCCCTCAGTAGAAACACATGGCAGGATTCCACGAGGGCTGCACGAGCATGCGAGCTGGCCCTCACAGCTGGCCCCGTGTCCTGTCCAGTTTGGTGTGGGGAGAGCAGAAACAGGTGGAGCCATGTTGGTCGGGAGACCTGGGAGATGGGCCTGTGGTGTGAGTGGGTGTCCAGCAGCTGCCTTGGCTGACGAAGGTCTCCAGCCTCAGGGACTCTCAGAAAGGAGCTGGGGAGTCTCTGGTGCAACCTTGACTCCCAAAGAGGGTCCAAGGCCAGAACCCTGCCTGGAAGCACCCGGGCTCCCCATCTGCTTCCTAGCAGTGTAGCCCCAACATTTGGTGGCCCTGCCCCTCAGGGGTGTGGTTGAGTGTCCGGGAGGGGTCTGCCTTCAATCCATGGGAAGTAGCTGAGGTGGAGAGACTGGATTTCAGGGAGGCCCTCCCAGGGAGACAGAAGGGCTGGCTGCCTCCACAGGTAGGGGTGTCCTTGGCCTTGGTGGTCCAAGTGTGATGCTGAGAGCAGATGCTCAGGCCTGAGGCCCCACTGCTACTCTCTCCTTTGCAGAGCGCATGAGCATCTTGATAATGCAGGGACTCGACCACCTTCCTGTCTGAAAGGCCCCACCACACCGAGGGCTCTCCCAACACCCTCCTACCCACCTTCCCCATCCTGATTCCCCTCGCCCCAGCTGGGAAGGAAGGAGCAGGGCGGAGCTAGGGGGACTCCTGCACATCCAGAAGTCACCCTCACTGGGGTTCTGCAGCCCTCACACCTCCTTCCCCCAGACCTGCGAAAAGTAGTTGTTTTCACGGGGAATTTCACCAAATAGATTGCGGGAGGGAGTAAGTAATTTGCTTACGTTTCTTTCCAACCCCATGAACATCAAGTTATTTCCACGTATTTCCCAACTACCTTCTGACCCCAAATAAACGGCATATTCCACTGGCCTAATAGAATGTTGCTTTAATGCCAAAGAAAACTACCCAAAAGCCAAGGTCAAGGCCGGGTTTTATAATACCCGGCTGTGCAGAGGGGCGTCGAGACCCCTTCTGTCTCCCTGGAACACCCCACATTAGAAAGGACACCGGAAGTCAGGCAGGTCCCGGGAGCTAGCGCCCTCCTCCCTTGGTGTGTCCTGGACCTCAGGGAGGTGCGGGCTCCGGGTGGGGAAACTGAGGCTCGGGGGTCTGAGTCTTACCGGCAGGCCGGTGGTGGCACGCCTCATGCGGTGATCCGCGGTATCGGCGGGCAGCTCCGGGCGGTCGCGGTTCCCTGGGGGCGCACCGGCATCCCAGCCATCCCCGGACCCGAGGTCAGCGGCGGCGGCGGCGGCGGCGACCAGCAGGCCGGCGCGGAAGAGCAGGAGGCGGGCTCCGGCGGCGGCCATGAAGGCGGTGCGCACCTCTGGAATGAATCGCTCTCAGGCTCCGCGCCTTATAACACGCTTGAAGCTTGAAACCCCCGCCTCACCCCGCCCACGTCACCGCGCGGCGCCCCCTCCCGGCTGGGGCGCGCGCTGCAGCGGAAGCCTGGGAGGGCGCGGTGGGACCGCTCCAGGAGGCGGGCGAGGCGGCAGGAGCACTCCCTTGCGGCGCCCCTGCGCCAGTGCGGCTTCGGGGTCCCTTCCTGCGCACAGTCCCGCACTTCTGCTCTGCGGAGCCCCTTCTCCCCATCTTGAACCCGCAGCCCTTTCGATTTCCTTTTCCCTGAAAGAAACCGGGACGCCCGCCTCCTTCCAGGCCCGGGGCATTCTTTCTCCCCAGCCTCATTGACAGATGGAGCACGTGGAGGGGGCAGACACTCAGGCACCTTTCCCAGCAGGCGCTCTCCTTGCTGGAGTTGCCTTCTCCCCATGGCTGCGGTGCCCTGAGCACAGGGATGCACGGTTCTCTCTCTCTCTCTCTCTCTCTCTCTCTCTCCCTCCCTCTCTCCCTCCCTCCCTCTCTCTCTCTCTCTCTCTCTTCCTTCCTTTCTTTCCTCTTTAATTTTTATTTTATTTCTTTTAGAAAAGGAGAGTGAGAGGGAAACATCAATTTGTTGTTTCACTTATATATGCATTCATTGGTTGTTTTTAAAAAAATTGATTTCAGAGAGGAAGAAAGAGGGAGAGAAAGAAACATCAATTATGAGAGAGAATCATTGACTGGCTGCCTTCTGCACGACCCCCACTGGGACCCAGTCCACAACCCAGGCATGTGTCCTGACTGGGAATCGAACCGGACTCATTGGTTGCTTCTTGTATGTACTCTATATACAGGGATGGAACCTACCACCTTGGCCTATCAGGACTATGCTCTAACCAACTGAGCTACCCACCCAGGGCTGGGATACCCAGTTCTTCCCAACTCACTCGGGAGCACCTGCAGGGACCTGGAAAGGTGGCACCCAGAGTGAATCCGTTGCCAGAGGCAACTGCCCTGCACTGATGGGCATGAATAAGACCTGGGCTTGGAGTCCTGAGCCCTCTGATGACTTAGCAGGGTGTAGGGACAGGCCCCACCAGGGACCAGGCTACCCTCTGCCCACTGGATCGGTGCAGGACACACTGCTGGACAGGTGGACCGGACTCTACAGCATAAACTCCAGGTCGCCCCTGAGAAGAGCAAGTTCGCCCACCCCCAACTTGGGCTCTTTGCTTTATTACATACTGCCCAGGTAAGACATGTTGGAACCGCAGAGGGTTTTTATGAGTTTATTTGAGCCAAAATGATGAAAATTGCCAGAAAGATAAAATCTCAACAAATTGACAACAATGCATCAGAGAATGGCAGTTTTACAATTTATTTTATACATTAAATCAAAGCAGGAGACATAAGAGGGGTTACATGAGATCCATTGGTGGTAGATTAAAGGGTAGGAGAGAGTAAATTGTGGAAATCTCTGGGATTGGATAACAAGTAAAACAGAGAGACACATACTTCTTTTGCACTGGTGGACACAGGGCTGCTAACAACATTTACCTCACATAGAGAACGAAACACAATGAGGAGTTTCGTGTCTCCTGCTCTGGTGCGGCAGGTGTGCCCTGAGATGGTCCGGAAAAGATTGCTCTGACATTCCAAGGGTGTGTGGCTTTAGCTGCAAAAAGACAGCAGACGAGCTCCGTGGATATAAAGATGGACTTTGTCAAGGAAGATGCGACAGGCGTGGGTTACGACCACTGCAGTGACCCACTCTTAATTAGGAATTTTAATGTTCAGGCTATCTGTTACTTTGGTCTCTGAGTTTGTGGGGCCCACCATGCAGGTCTCCTCTAAGCTTGTCAGGTTTGGTATGTAGTCCCCTTTTCACCCACACTTCCTTCTTTAGGTCATAAAACAATCCAAAGGATGCATTGATGACCAAACACTTGGTTGGATAATGTGTTCCCAGGGTGCTAGGAAGGCTCATTCCTAGGAAGTCTTAGTGCCATCATTTGTCTTGCTGAACAATGGACCACTGGGGATGGGGCATGACTATAAACCTGATGGAAGTCAACGCCAAATTTTCTCAAAAGGGAAAGACAAAGAAATGGGAGGCAGTCAGGTGTTATGGGCCTTCATTAAGAGAAAAGCCCTCTTACCCTAGCTGGTTTGGCTCAGTGGATAGAGCATCAGCCTGCAGACTGAAGGGTCCCAAGTTTGATTCTGGTCAAGGGCACATGCCCTGGTTGAGGGCTCGATCCTCAGTAGGGGCATGCAGGAGGCAGCCAATCAATGATTTTCTCTCATCATTGATGGTTCTCTCTTCCTCTCTGAAATCAATAAAAATATTTAAAAAGAAAAGAGAAGAAAAAGTCCTCTTGCCCAGCCAGTGTGGCTCAGTGGTTGAACATCGACCCATGAACCAAGAGGTCACCGGTTCAATTCCCAGTCAAGGCACATGCCCGGGTTTCGGGCTAGATCCCCAGTAAGGGGCATGCAGGAGGCAGCCAATCAATGATGTTTTTTTCTCTTCGATGTTTCTACCTCTCTATCCCTTCCCTTCTTCTCTAAAATAACCAATAAAAACATTTTAAAGAAAAAAGCCCCTCTGCATGGCCAGTGTGGTTCAGTGGTTGAGCGTCGACCCATTAACTAGGAGTCACAGTTTGATTCCTGGTCAGGACACATGTCCGGGGTGGGGGCTCAATCCCAAGTAGGGGGCGTGCAGGAGGCAGCCAATCAATGATGTTCCCCATCGATGTCTCTATCTTTCTCTCTCCCTTACTCTCTGAAATAATAAAAAGGTATTTTTTTAAAAAGAAATATAAAAAAGCCCTCTGGCCCTAGCTGGTTTGGCTCAGTGGATAGAGCGTCGGCCTGTGGACCAAAGGGTCACAGGTTTGATTCTGGTCAAGGAGGAATCCGGAAGGGGGCTACATGTACCTTGGTTGCAGGTTCCTCCCTGGTCAGGGCTTGTGCAGGAGACAACCAGTCAATGTGTTTCTCTACATCGATGTTGCTCTCTGCCTTTCCCTCTCTCTTCCATTCTCTTTAAAAATCAATGGAAAAATATTCTTGGGTGAGGATTAACAAAAAAAAAAAGAGAGAAAAAAGAAAAGAAAAAGAAAAAAGCCCTCTGGATCACTTCTAACCTGAAAGCTATCATGATTTAAGTTTTGCTGCCATCTCACTTTCCTGCATTTTGTACCCAGTATAATATTTACTTAGAGTCTGAGGGCACACCATGCATCTCTTTGGTTTTTACAATCTGACCATGAAATGGGTGTTGTTGTGGTTGGTCTTGTTTTAATATGGCCTATCTACTTCCCATTGGAAGCACTCAACTGCCATTATCATTATTAACCTGATTCCTGCTAGTTGTACAATTGGGGACTGTAACTTTAAGGATAAATCAGGGCCAAGGCTGTAAGAACACAATGGTGTAAATTATTATTACCATCTAACATTTTCCAGAGGCTAGGAGGACAGTAAGAGTTTCATATGTACGTTTCCTGTGCCTGAGCAGCATTATAGAGGACCATGTTTTTATAACCACTACAGCTTCCATCTGAATTAATATAGTTAGTAATTTTTGTTGGGTTAGGGAGTAAGCATCTTCCCATAATTGGGTTCTTCCCATAATTGTCAACATAAGAAAAATCCAAACCTGTGCATAATTTTCACGAGTTTATTTGAGCCAAACTGATGACAATTCTTGGGAAGTAAAATCTCAAGGGATTGAGAAAATGCTCTGGATAGTGGCAGTTTTGCACCTTATTTTATAGATTACAGTCAAAGGAGGAATCTGTAAAGGGGGCTACATGAAATCCATTCTCTGGGATTGGATAATAAGGCAAAATGGAGGGACACATAGTTCTTTTACATTGGTGGGTACAGGATCGTTAGCTATCAGCATTTATAGCTCATGGAGATGGTATATTCGAGAACAAGATATCAATGAGGAATTCTGTGTCTCCTGCTCTGGTGGAAGGTTGGGCCCTGAAGGGTCTGTAAAGGAAATAACCTTGACATTTCAAATGTATGTCATCCTAGATGGGAAAGACAACAGACAGGCTCAGTTAAGGTAAAGATTGCCTTTAAAAATATATCTATTTTTATTGACTTTAGAGGAAGAGGAAGGGAGAGGGAGAAAAACATCAGTGTGAGAGAGAAATATCAGCAGGCTGCCTTCTGCACACTCCCACTGGGCATGTGCCTTGAGCGGGAATCTAACTAGATACCTTTCAGGAGGAAGTGCCCTGTGGGGAATTGAACTGGTGACCTTTCAGTACATGGGGCAGTGCTCAACTAACTGAGCCACACCAGCCAGGGTGGTAAAGAATGACCTTCCTCAAAGAAGATACCGGCCTAGGATGTGACTACCTGCATGACTACATGCAATGACTCACTTTTAGTTAGGAAGGTTTTTGTTTGTTTAATCTTCACCTGAGGATATTTTTCCATTGATTTCTTAGAGAGAATGGAAAGGAGGGGGACGAACACAGAGAGAGAAATCTTGATGTGAGAGAGACACATTGACTGATTGCCTCTTGACCAGAATCAAACCCGGGACATTTTAGTCAACCGACTGATGCTTTATCCACTGAGCCAAAGTGGCAAGGGCTAGTTAGGAAGTTTAAATTTCAAACCATCCTAAGTGGTTTCTTTGAGCTTCTGAGTTGGTAAGGCCGCCATGCAGGCCTCCCCTGAACTTGTCATGTGGTCCCAGTTTGTCCACACATTTACACATAAAATTCCTTTCTCAAGATTCCTTTTCTACTGGTCTTCTACAACTTCTCTTGTCTTTCTTAGTTTCTCTTTTTACTCATTCAGAATTAATATTGTACAAACTACTTCCTTTTAACTCCTCTCAAAAACACACACATCCCTTTCCTTCCTTCTGTAATAACATTCCTTCTAAATTTTCCAAAGAGAAACCATAAAAAAATACTATTGATAATACAAACATTATCTTATACACCTTCAGCAATTATTAACAGTTGGGCTACCAGGTTTGAGAAAAGCCCAGAGAACAAGTATCC